GTGCTCGTCGCTGCCGCTGCATGGAGCTGGCGGGGCTGCAAGGAGCCCCTGGGGCTGGCGCGGAGCAGGGAGTGTTCATCACAACCCTGGGTTTTGCTTTGATTTAAAGGAATTAAACCCGAAAAGCATTTCAGGAAGAAACCCCTTTTCCTTCCTCCTTGCTGCATGCCAACACCTTGCAAAGAGGGGGAAGGTGGAAGCTTCGGAAAGACCACGACTAACCTGTGCTTTCCCACCCCTGGAGCACGGGGTGGAGAGTGGGCACCGACATGGGCCAAAAAGGACTTTTTTTTTCCTCAAACGCCTTTTGGGTCTAGAAGCCACCTTCCCCTGAGCCCTGCATGACCGAGGGCAGTGCATGAGCTTTGGGCAGCGCTCGCGCTCACCCTCCATCTGCCTCCGAGCACCCCGAGGGGACCCCGCTAATGGGTGCTCGTCCTTCTTACTGCACCAAAAGCTGGTCCTGAGTAATTCTGGTGGAGGTGGCACGGGGGAGCCTGTGTCCCTGCACGCATGGGGTATGTGGCTAATGAACTTGAGGGGGACCCGCTGCCCTGCAGCGAGACCTGGCCCTTCTGCCACCATCCGTAGCCGCTCGGGCGCCACCAGGGAAACCAGCAGGGCCGGGGCTGTTTTCCCATCAAGAGCCGTTTGCAGAAGCTGGTTTGGAGCGATTGCTCCGGTGCCTTTGGGCAACTGCCGGTCGCTGGCGCGAGGCCGGAGGTGCAACCAGTTCTGCCGGTGGCAATTTGCTCTTTAAAGGCAGGGAGCGCAATCTCCGGCTCCATCCGAGGAAGGGGCTCGGGATGCAAAGCCTTCCTCCCGCGATGGAGCCAGGACCGCCCGGGGACAACAGGACCTGGCCTGCTCTCACCCGCCTCTCCATCTCTCCGCACTTCTCTGCCTCCCTGCAGGTGACCGTGTGCTGGGCGGAGGAGGCGCCGGGCCGCACCAAGCGCTCCCTGTCTCCCCAGGCCGAGCACGCCGGCATCCGCACCTACTTCTTCAGCGCCGAGAACACCGAGGAGCAGGAATCCTGGATTCAAGCCATGGGCGAAGCGGCCCGGGTGCAGATCCCACCGGCGCAGAGGTCAGCGCGGGCTGGGGAGCCCCTGGGGTGGTGTCACCGCGCGGGGACGGTGGGATGATACCCACTGTCCCCGAGCGCTTCCAAGGGAAGCTGATGCCCTCCCGTGTCTCCGCGCCCGTCAGGCATGAGAAGCCAGACTCGGAA